CAGTCTTACCCAGAACCACTGACCTCCCCCAGATCCACCTAGACCCCTCCCAGACCCCACCAAGACATTGTGTAGGGGCACCCACTGGCTTGGTGAGTGGGGACCCACAGGCACAGGGAGCTGGTGGCACCAGGATCCACCAGCACAAGGAATGGGATACCCAGTGGAACAGGGACCCACTAGCAATGGGAAAGGGATATCTGGTGGAATAGGGACCCACCAGTACCAGGAATGGGATATCTGCTGGCAGAGGGACCCACTGGCATTGGGAATGGGATATCTGGTGGCACTGGGATCCACCACCATGGGGAAGGGGGACCTGGTAGCACAGGGACAGATTGGCACAGGGATGTGCTGACATGCAGAATGAGCCCCCCTCCGCCCAGTACTCCCCTCCCATCCCTGTGCCACCCAGGGATGACTGTGCCCACAGGCCCCCCAGCCCATCCCCACCTGCCAAACACGGGCTCCAGGGTGTTGGGCACGTACTGGTCCCGCTGGCCCAGGGTTCTCTTCCCCAGGGACACCCGGACATAGGGGTCACTCTAGCAGCAGGGAGGGCACAGTCAGAGTGGCACCAGGGGGGGGAGAGGGCAGGAGACACCCCCCCACCCCCGGGGGTCCTTACCAGTCCAGTGACATCACAGGGGGACAGGTCAAAGGCCCGGACGATGTAGACCCGCACCAGGCAATCCTGGGGTTTGCTGGGGGGCAGCTGCTGGAAGTGCTGGGGTGAGGGGGGCACCCTGGGCTCCTCGGGCAGGGGGTAGATACAGAACAGCCCCTGAGAGAGAATCCCAGCTGTGCACCCCTGGAGGGTCTCACGGCCCCAGCTCTGGGGTCCCACGGGGGGCTCTCACTCACCTTGAACTCACCCACGGGCTCAGGATCCTGCCCAGGCATGGGGGGACCACCCGGTTTGTGGAGAGGGAAGGTCTGGCAGAAATCCTGCAGCCCCTGGAACTCGGGCACGGCCTCCAGCTCACAGCCGTAGATCTGCGGGACCATGTCCAGCCTGGGATTTATCCCTGTTCTCATCCCTGTCACACCCATCCCTGTCCTGTATTTGTGCTTCTCCCCATCACAGACCTGTTCCCTTCTTCATCCTCATCCCCTTCCTATGTTTATCCCCATCCCAGCTTCATCCCTGTCCTCAACATCCTTGCAACTTCATCCCCATCATATCTTTATCCCCATCCCTGTCCCCTTCCCATCTTCATCCCCATCTTTGTCCTCTTGTTCAGCCCTGTCCTTGTCCTCATCTGCCTCCCTTCATCATCCCTGTCCCTGTCCCCATCCTGCTTCCCTCCAAATCTCCATCCCTGCCCTTGTCCTCAGCCCATTTCTATCCCTGTCCTGTCCCAGTCCCCACCTCATCTCCATCCCTATCCCCATCCTCATCCCGTTTCCATCATCCCTGACTCCATCCCTATCCCACTTTCCTCTGTCTCCATCTGTGTCCTTGTCCCCACTCATCCCTGTCCCATCCTGTCTCATCCCCATCTCTGTCCCATCCTGTGCCATCCCCACCTCTGTTCCATCTCCACCCCTGTCCCATCCTGTCCCATCTCCACTCCTGTCCCCATCCCAATCGCAGGCTCTGCCTCACCTTAAGTCTGTCCCTGTTTGTTCCCCATGGGATTTCTCCCTTATCCTCCAAGGCCGTGTAGAATTTGCTCCACCAGTCCACCTCCTCCTCTTCCTCCTCCATGTCCTAAGGGAACAGGGGAAGGTGGGATGGGTGGCACAGGTGGCCTTGGTGGCCCCCGGATAGCCCCATTCCTGTGCCCCCTGGTAGCCCCATTCCTGTACCTACCTTGTCGCCATTCCCCTTCTTCCCAAGGCAGCTGAGCAGGATCTGCAGGAGCAAAGGGCACATGGGGAAACTGAGGCACGGGGCCCAGCAGTGCCAGGGTGGGGGGTGCCATCCCAGGGACTCACCTGGGCGATCCTGGCCCAGGCTCTGGTGAGGAGGTGGGAACATAAACCTTTCCAGAGGCTGAAAATGGCCAGCAGGGAAAGGGGTTCGTCTGTGGGAGAGAGGGATGGGCAGGGATGGGGCAGGAAGAACCTGGGATGGGGCAGGAACAGGGCAGGAATGCTGCGGGGATGGGACCTGGACAGGGGGCATCTTGAATGGGGCAGGGGCCACCTGGGATGGGGCAGTGATGAGGCAGGGATGGAGCAGGGGTGGGAGAGGGGGTACCAAGGGTGGGGCAGGGATGGGGCAGGGTATACTTGGGATGGGGCAGGGGTTACCTGGGATGGGACGGGGAGTACCAGGGAGGGGGCAAGGGGTATTTGGGATGGGAGAGATGGTACCGGGGATGAGGTAGGGATGGGGTAGAGGGGAAGAGAAATGGGACAGGGGGTAACTGGGATGGGGCAAGTGGTACTTGTGATGGGCAGGGATGAGACAGGGGGTATTTGGAATGGGAGAAGTGGTACCAGGGATGGGGCAGGGATGAGCAGTACCTGGCATGGACACGACTGTATAGGAGCCAGTCCCAGTGTCTCCAGGGCCAGGGGGCTGCTCCTGGTGGGGGGGCTGCTCTAGGCCAGGGGTCCTGCAGCGGTACTGGCCCAGTCCCCGCACGCAGCCCTGTCCCACCAGGACCTCCAGCTTCCTGTTCCCCCTGTCCCACACCCGCAGCCGGATGGGGGGCACCAACTGCTCCTCCTCTGGCAGGGCCTGGGGACGAGCCACAGGGACACCCCAGGGTGCCACAGCAGCACCCATGGGTGGGGGTCATCCCCTGCCCCCCCGCCCCCCCACTCACCAGGGTCAGCAGGAAGGTGGTGGTGGGGAAATTGGGGTTGGAGGCAAAATCCTTGATCACAGGAGTCGACAGGGTCTGGTCCTCCCACTGCAGCTCCAGCCTAGGTTCCCTCACAGCCCCGCGCAGCCCCCGCAGCCCCCAGGCCAGCACCTGCGGGGACACCTGGGAGGTGTCACCCTTGGGTGCCCTGGGGGCCCCTCGAATGGCATCTGTGCCCAGTGGGAGGGTTAAGGTGCTTGTCCCTGTCCCCATCCCCATCCAACTCCAGTCTCCATCTCATACCACATTCCCACCCCACTTTTATCCCTGTCCCATTCCTGTTCTTGTCCCCAGCCCATCCCCAGGACCTTCAGCAGTCCCTGTCCCTGTTCCGTCTCCATCCACTGTCCCCACCCTGTCCTTGTCTTCATCTCATCTCCACTACCTTCAACACTGTCCCTTGTCCCTGTCCCCCTCCCAGTCTCCATCTCAGATACTGTCCCCATCCCACCTTCATCCCTGTCTGCATCCCTGTCCTTGTCCCCATCCCATTCCCAGAACCTCCAGCACTGTCCCTGTCCTTGTCCCTTTTCTCATCCCAGCCCCGAGCTGTCCTTGCCTTCATCCCTCTGTGCTTGTCCTCATCTTCATCCCTGTTCTTGTCCCTGTCTCATCTACATCCCCTTCATCCCTGTCCATGTCACCATCCCCAGGACCTTCAGCACTGTCCCTGTTCCTGTTCCCCTCCCAGTCTCCATCTCAGACCTCGTCCCCATCCCACCTTTATCCCCGTCCCATCCCGGACTGTGCCCACCCTGTCTTTATTCCTGTTCCAATCCCTGTGCCCATCCCTCTCCCTGCTTCACCCTTGTCCCCATCCCATTCCCTGCTTCCTCCTTGTCCTCATCCCTATTCCCACATGTTCCTCTCCCTGTCCATTCCCCCCTGCATCCCCCCCCCGAGTGTCCCCATATGCCACCTCCAGTGCCACCCTCTGGAGCCGTGGCCGGATTCCCAGGGGAATGCCAAGCACATCCTTCCTCAGCGGGGGGGGTGTGAGCACTGCCAGGGTCCCGTCCTGCGGGGAGAGGGGTCAATGATGATGGGACCCCACCCTTGGGTGCCTCCGTGCCCCCCCAGTGCCCCTGGTGCCCCCTGCTCACCTCGGGCTCGAGCAGCAGCTCAAAGGCAGCCACCAGGTCCCCGGCCGGGCCCCACGGCCCGCGCAGGGGGTGAGGCTGGAGCCAGGGGGGCTCCCGGTGTCCCAGATCCAGCCAAACCTCGGGGGTGCACACACACCTCCCCAGAAAAACACCGGCACCCTGTGAGGCAGGGATTGGGTGAAGGTGCTGCCCCCACCCATGGGTGCCCCTCTCATCCTTTCATCCCTGACCCCCTTGATCCTCCCACTGCTTCCCCCACCCGTGGGTGACCCCTCGTCCTTACATTCCTCCTGCCATCCCTCCATCCGTGTTCCACCCCTCATCCATCCCTCTCTATCCATCCCTCCCTGCCTCCCTCACTCCTCCCTCCCTTCTCCCATCTCTCTGTCCCCCATCCCTCATCATCTCTTGCCCCATCCTTCCATCTCTCCCTCATCCCTCCATCCATGCCCCATCCCTCAATCCATCCTTCTGATCCCATCCTTCCTTCCTTCCCTCCCCCCTTCCCTCTCCACATCACTCTCGTTCCCTCCATCCCCAAATCCTTCCATCCCTGACCCCCCCAACCTTCCCTACCTCCTCCCACCCCTCTGCCATTTTTACCATTCCTTATCCATCCCTCTGCCCCCATCCTTTCATGCCTCCCTCCCTACTCCCTTCCTCTCCACATCGCTCCCTCCATCCCCAAATCCTTTCACCACTGACCTCTCATCCTTCCATCCCTCCCACTATCCTTCCATCCATGTCCCATCCCTCATCCATCCATCTGCCCCCATCCTTCCCTTCTTCCCTCCCACCCTCCTCTCTTTCTTTCTCCCTCCTCCCCCCCACATTGCTCAGTCTACCCCCAATTCTTCCATCCCTGACCTCCTGCATCCTTCCATTCCTCCTGCCACCCCTCCATCCATGTACTGTCCCTTATCCATCCCTCTGCCGTCCTTCCCTCCCTCCCTCCCTCTCTCTCCACATTGCTCCCCCCATCCTCAATTCCTTACATCCCTGACCCCCCCAATCCTTCCACCTCTCTCTCATCCCTCCTTCCCTCCTCCCTCCCCCACTGGTGTTCCTTACCTCCCCAGCCTGGTCAAACACCTCCACCACTACGGCTGGGGGGTCCTCCCGAACCCCTTGGGGGTTCCCGAACAGCAGCACTGGGTGGAGCAGCAGCGTCTGTTCCCAGAGTGGGTCCAGGACACCCCGCACGACCCGGGAGCGTTGGCTCCGATCCATGATTGACACGTGGGCGGCGGTGGCTGGGTGACAGTGACACCATCAGTACCCCGTGGGGCCACTGGGGGGGGGGCACGGGGTGGGGGTCCCACCTATAGAGGTCTTGGAGATGCCAGGGGTCAGATCCAGGGCCCGGAAGAGGTAACAGCGGAGCTGGAAGCGGCTGGGACCTGCAGGACAGGGGTGTCAGGGGGGCTGGGACCCCCAGGCTGGACCCGGACACACACACCCTCCCCAGGCTCACAGGGGAAGGTACAGAGAATGAAGGGCAGGGGCTGCTCCAGGGAGGGCTGTGACCCCCAGGGTTCCAGCAGTGCCACGGCTGGATTGTCCTCCTTGGGCGTGTCCTCCGTGTCCTGCGGCAGGAAGGGATGGGGGGTGAGGCATATGGGGTGTGGGGTGGGAGCCCCTCTGGCCCTGTTGTCCTCTGGTCCTACATCTGCTGTCTTGTGTTCTGCAGTCCTATCATGGCCCATCTCCACATCACTTCCATCCCTGCCCTCCCCATCCTTCCATCCCTCCCTCATCCCTCTATCCATGCCCTATCCCTCATTCATCCTGCTGCCCCGTTCTTCCCTTTCTCCCTCCCTCTTCCCTCCCTCCTCCATCACTCTCCACATCTCTCCATCCAACCCCCAACCTTCCATCCCTCCTGCCATCCCTCTATCCATTTCCCATCCCTTATCCATCCTTCCTTCCCTCCCTCCCTCCCTCCATCTCCCCATCTCTCAGCCATCCCTTTGCCCCCTATCCTTCCATCCCTCCTCCCATCCCTCCATCTGTGCCCTATCCCTTATCCATCCCTCTGCCACTATCCTTCCCTCCCTTCCCCATCCCTGCCTCCATCTCTCCATCTCTCCATGCTCTATCCTTCATCCATCCCTCTGCTCCCATCTCTCCATCCATCCCTCCATTTATGCCTCATCCCTCATCTATCCCTTCTTTCCCCCATTTTCCACCCCTTCCTCGCCATTCCCCCCTTCCACCCAGACCCCTCCCCACCCTCTCTCTTACTGGGACTCCCTGCAGCAGGAACAGGGGTGCCACGGCCGTGGGCTGGGCGAGCACCAAGCCGCGGTGCCAGCGGCGCCGCCGGCACAGGGCCCCCCCCAGGACACTCCCCGGGGGTTTGGGACGGAAGGGGCAGGGCCAGAAACACTCAGACTGCCAGGGCTCGTCCTCTGACACTGCTCCAGGGTCCTGGGGAAGGATAGGACAGCAGGGACATGGGACAGTAACATGTGGACACCATGATATGGTGACACCACCATCCCTATCAGCCCATCTTGCCATCCCCATTCCCGCCTCCTATCCCCATCACCCCCAACCTGCCACCTCCATTTCCCTCCGTCCCTGTTACCTCCATCCCCATCATCCTCATCCCCGACACCTCCCTCCCTGACCCCTCATCCTGCCATCCGCCTATCCTGCTCCCTCCTCCCCCCTCCTCACTCACGGTATCAGAGGTGGTCCCGTTGGAGCAGCTCCTCTGGATGTGGTTCCCGTTCAGCTCCTGCAGCATCTCACACACCACACTGCCTGTGTCCAGCATCTCCCTGGGGACAAGGGGACAGCGCTGGTGTCACCCAGGTCCCCGTGGTGGCAGGTGGGTGGCTTTCCCCTTGTATCCCCCTCAAATCCTCCTGTATCCCCTCTAAACCCCCTCAAATCCCCCTCAAACCCCCATATCCTCTTCAAACCCCCCTGCATCCCCCCCAAACTCCCTGCAGACTCCCAATATCCTCCACAAATCTTCCTGTATCCCCTCCAAACACCCTGAAACCCTCCCATATCCTCTCCAAACCCTCCTGTATGCCCCCAAACACCCTTCAAACCCCCCTGTATGCCCCCAAACACCCTTCAAAGCCCTGTAACCCCCTACAATCCCCTCAAATCCCTCCATATCCTCCCCAAACCCCCTGTACCCCTTTCAAACACACCTCTAACCCACCCAAAACCCCTCAAATCCTCTATCATATCCACCCAAA